AGAAAAACTCAATAGGAAGGATTTGGTGATATCAACATGAGCAGAAATCAATAAGCGCCTTCATTTCCCAGGCAGTTGATCTAAATTGCAGCTTCTTATTGATAATTAAGCAGACATAGTACTGTGTCAGGACTGTTTAAATTTGGAATCAGGAACTGTTCATTTAACTCTTCATCAATTCTACTATAGCCATTCAAGTTCTGTAGAAATCCTCTACATGAGTATTAGAATGGGAAAGATTTAAATTCCTGTTTTTCTTCCAGCTTCAGCCTCTGAATTATATATCCCCAGGGTTTTATTTGACATGGTTGAAGAAAAAGAAATCTTTTAATAATTTGGGTGGAGAAAAAGGTTTAATGAAATCAAACGCTTCAACCTGCTAATTTCCAATTTAGCCAAATTTAGGGTGACCATACCTTATAGTCTTTGAAAAGCAGCAAGACTGACATCTAAGAGAGATAATTGGCACGCCTAGCTAGCTAGCTGGTCTGAATTGACTTACCATGTTATTTGTGTTTGCATAATATCCCTCTGAGCTTCTTTGCTATAATGATAATACAAGGATGGAAGGTTATACTAAATTGTGTCAAAGTTTATGGAATTTATACTCTGTGTTTGAACCTGGACAACATACTGACCATTCATATTCAAAATACAGTAGAGTTACTCTTGACTTATGACTTTCAATTGAGCCCGAAATTTCTGTTCATATGCAAACTTATTAAGTAGTTTTGCACCATTTTATGACCTACCTTGTCACAATTGTTAAGGGGTTCACTTAAGTTAGTAACACAGTTGTTAAGTAAATTTGACTTCCCCATTGACTTGGCTTGTCAGAAGGTCACAAAAGAGGATCATGTGACCTCGGGACACTGCAATCGTCATAAATGTGAGACAGTTGCCAAGCAATAGCAATAGCAATATAGCAGTTAAACTTATGTACTGCTTCACAGTGCTTTACAGCCTCCTCTCTAAGCGGTTTACAGAGTCAGCCTCTTGCCCCCAACAATCAGGATCCTCATTTTACTGACCTCGGAAGGATGAAACCTTGAACCAGTCAGGGCCGAACTGCTGGCAGTGGGCAGACTCAGTTTGCAATATTGCATTCTAATCACTGTGAACTATGGATACATGGATGGATGGATGGATGGATGGATGGATGGAAGGAAGGAAGGAAGGAAGGAAGGAAGGAAGGAAGGAAGGAAGGAAGGAAGGAGTCAGCTCATAAAACATTTTGTATACATGTTTTATAGTTCACAACAGAAAGAAGGGGGAGTTTCAAAGAGCAGGCAACAGTGTGGAATTGAAAGTACATTCCATTCATATTTTCTTCAAAGACTGATTAGATGGCTGAAGTTTCTGCTGCAAAAAAATATAATTGGAGAGGATGATTGATGACTCTTGGCTATGGACGTTTTTTGTTGGATGATACACCCATAGGGGTGGGGGAAAAAGCAGGATCAAGGGTGACAGTGAATTACGTATCTCAGAGTTGGCTACCCCCAGGTTAGTGCTGGACGTAGAATGTTAACTTCAAATAAATCCCCTTTAGTTTTGGGAATGTGGCTCAAGGCTCATGATTTAATTGGAGTAACTGCCGGAACCCTGACAGGAGGAAGGAGAAAAGGAAGAGCAATAGTAATGGCATTTAGACTAATCTACCACTCCACAGTGCTTTACAGAGTGGTTTACAGAGTCAGCACATTGCCCCCCAACAATCTGGGTCCTCATTTTACCAACCTCGGAAGGATGGAAGGTTGAGTCAGCCTTGAGCCTGTTGAGATTCGAACTGCCAAATTGCAAGCAGCTGGGCAGTCAGCAGAAGTAGTCTGCAATACTGCATTCTAATCACTCCACCACTGCGGCTCTGTGCATCAGAATATTGATGCTGTGACCAAGGGGATGCTGCAATGGTTATAAGTGTGGAAAACAGTCATAAGTCACTTTTTTAAAGAGGCCTTGTAACTTCAAACATCACCAAACAAATGGAAAAGTTGAGAGCTACTTGTAATCAATAGTGCCCAATGGATGAAGATGGTTTAGAAACATGTTGAGAAGACAGTTCAGAAATATCTCAGTCCCATTAATTATCAGATGAGACCTTGGTGAGAAGCTGCAGTGCTGTGGTTCAGCACATAAACTACAAAAAGGCTGATCTGTTTGTTGTAGTCACTCACACAACAGTCTAAGAGAACCAAAGCTCCCAATTTCTCAAGATGTTTCTTTTACAGAGTGTGAGTAGGCAAGTCACCTCCTCCATATAATGTAAGAAGCTAGTATGCTACCCAGACATCATGTTTTGGCAATTAATTCATTATTCTATTCCTCTGATAAAATGTGAGAATGTGTAGGTATGGAGTCATGTCTCCTAAGAGAAGGATTCTCAAGCTGGATAAATCAGTGAGTCAGTCTATTCTGTAGCGTGATTTTTATTCAGACTCCATATGGCCATGATTATGAAAAGGAGGAGGAAAATAGAGCAAGTAGGCTCAACTTGTCTCATAGCATGTAAATTCAAGTTTAAAAATTCAATCTCAGAGTTGGTGTGCAACCTCTATGCTCCTTCCCGGCAATTTTGGAAGTTTCTTATAGAAATTCCAACTCGTCCTTCCTCTCTTCTCCTTCACAGGAGCTGATTAGAACATTGTTGGAGGCAGTGGGGGCTGCCGAAAATTGAGGGGAAAAGTCTTTTGTCCACAACGATACTCATCAGTTGGATTGTACACTGGAGATTAGAGTTCTTGGCCGTTTCTGTCAGAGTTCAGATTTATCTTGAAGATATATTTATTACAGCTGGCATAGCTCCATTTGTAAAATCATTTTGAGTTGACCAAGGTGAGAGCATTTGGATGTGGCTGTAATTTACATGCGACACGGGAATGGGACGGGCGTGTTTGTTTTAGAAGGAATTTTTATGGGAACGTGGCTCCTGGGGATTTAGGAATAATTTGAACACCTATTATGTTCTTCTTCATCCTTCAGTGGGTGGTTCACAGCTGCAGTAGAAAAAGCCACAGCTGCAGCAGAAAAAGGCCCAGAAGGAGATGTGATTCATTTTTTCCTGGTCTACATACCCTAACTAATCCTCTTGCCTTAATGTTGAAGGAATTGTCTCAGAATAGAATAGAATAGAATAGAATAGAATAGAATAGAATAGAATGGAATGGAATGGAATGGAATAGAATAGAATGGAATAGAATTCTTTATTGGCCAAGTGTGATTGGACACACAAGGAATTTGTCTTGGTGTAAATACTTTCAGCATACATAAAAGAAAAGATACATTTGTCAAGAGTCAAGAATCATCAGGCGCAACACTTAATGATAGTCATAGGGTACAATGAGCAATCAAATCATACTAAGAAACAGTCAATATAAATCATATGGATACAAGCGACAAAATTACAATCATACACTCATACAGTGGGAGGGGATGGGTGATAAGGAGTGATGAGAAGATTAACAGTAATAGTAGTTCAGACTTTGTAATAGTTGAACAGTGTTGAGGGAATTATTCGTTTAGCAGAGTGAAGGCATTCAGGAAAAGTCTATCCTTGTGTCTAGTTGTTCTGGTGTTCTCTATCACGTCATTTTGAGGGAAGGAGTTGAAACAGTTTATGTCCAGAATGTGAGGGGTCTGTAGATATTTTCACAGCCTCTTTTTGACCCATGCAGGATAAAGGTCCTCGATTGAAGTCAGGTGGGTAGTAATTGTTTTTTCTGCAGTCCTAATTACTCTCTAAAGTCTGTGTCTATCTTGTTGGGTTGCAGAACCAAACCAGACAGTTATACAGGTGCAGATGACAGACTCAATAATTCCTCTGTAGAACTGGATCAGCAGCTCCTTTTATGGAATGTCTCTTCTAGTATCTTAGAACACAGAATAACAGAGTTGGAAAGTACATTGGAGGTCTCCTAGTCCAACCCCCAGTTCAAAGCAGGAGACCCTATACTAATCAGACAAATTGTTATCTAATCTTATCTTGAAGACCTCCAGTGATGTAGCACCCACAACTTCTGGAGGCAAGCTAATTAATCCATAATTAATTAATTGTTCTCATTGTCAGGAATTTTTTTCCCTTCCCTCTTCATTCTCCTTTCTTCTTCCTTCCCCTCTTCCCTCCTTTTCCCTTCCTTGCTCTCTTCCCATCTTACCTTCTTTCTCTTTCCTCTTTCCCTTTCTCCTTTCCTGTCCCTTCTTGCATGCTCAAATGCAAAAGGGGAAATATTTATCCCTTTGTTTTGTTTTTAGTTTATTTTTTTAGCCCTCTGCCGGCAAAAATTGAGCTTGAAGGACTGTGTGCGCCCCCACCCCCCTGCACCTGTTTTCAGCCGCAATGACCTCCTGCAGCCCCTCTGCCAGCAAAAATGGAGCTTGGGGTGTGTGGGGGGGGGGCCCTCCAAGCTCCTTTTTCACTGGCAGAGGCACCACGGAGTGGTCCTTTGCTGTTTCCAGGCCAGACCCTTGAGTTTGACACCCCTGCTCTAGCAGATCCCAAGATGGCTTGAGTTTGTAGAGAGACAATTAATGAAAGAAACAAAACATTTCACTTAAAGACACATTACTGTTCCCCTCCCACTCCCAAATTAACTGTCTTATATAAGGATGGGCAACAGTGGCACCTTTACAACAGGTGGACTTCAACTCCCAGAATTCCTAAGCCAATGTGCTCTTGGGAATGGTTCAGGAATTCTGGGAGTTGAAGTCCACGGGTTGTAAAGAGGCCATAGTTGTCCACCCTTTGTCTTAAATAGCAGTCTTTCCTGATTTATATCATTTTTTCCCCTAGATTGACCAATATATGAAACTTCAATCTTGGGGTTGTTGTTTTTTTCCAGCCTCTTGTAGATGACAAACTTTTAGGAATAATCTAGCCATGAACACTTCTTCTGGTTGGTTTGTTTTCATTCCCAGAGAAATGTCCACAGTTTCTAAATGATCAAAAGCTCTGTTGTGGCCTGCCGATGGCTGGCGGAGATGGCAGCAGAGTCGGACAGTAGTGAGGAGGTTGGGGAGGAACCTGGGCCAGTCCTGGAGGCCGAAGAAGGCTCGGACAAGGGCTCTACGCCAGAGGTAGAGATGGGACCAAGGCAGGCTGGCAGTCATCAGCTGCCTTTGAGCTCAGATAGCAGTGAGGCTGGGGAGCAGTTGGAACCAGTTCCCAGCCTGCACGTGCACAGAGTTGCTAAAAGAAAGGAGCAATTAAGAACTCGGGGTCGACATGGGAACAAAGCCACAGGTGGATGATGAATGCCCCCCCCCATCAGGATTAAAAGAGGAGCAAAAGGGGAGGGGGCTTTTGCAGGAAAGAACTTGCTTGTTTCATCATTCGTTTGTTCCAGCCCCTTGAAGATTTGTCTGTAAACCCAGCCTTCCCTGCCAATAGTGAGTGTGGAACTATTTACTGGGCAGTGTTCCCGGATTGATAAAGGTCTCAGATAATTAGTCTACCTTCGTGAGACTGTTTGCCAAGCTGTTGGCTGACTGAATGAAATAGTTCACATTACTGTAAATAAAGAGATTTTTGCCGGGATTCAGAATTGACTGAGTGCTCTTTGGTGAGGCCTAGGACAGAACAGGCTCTTCCGTTGAGCAGGGAATGAATTTGGAAAGAACCTGCCTGTTGCTACACCCCCAAATTAACTCCTTTTCTCTTGAAGATGCCTGCTGGGGGAACCTGCTGTCTGCCAGACATGACTGTTTTGGGGGGAATGCCCCTTGCAAGGAAACCCCATTCATAGCCTAGGGAACATAGCTGAATCAGTTGTATGACTCAACTATTATAATTTACAAATAATAGTCTATGACTCAGGATGTTTTCTGAACTGAGCAACGGTGTCTCATTCAACAAATTACAAGTAGTCCTTGACTGGCGGTCACAGCCGAGCCTGGAATTACATTTATAAGTTGTACCGATCATGAGATGGGGTCATCGGGTGACTGACCTAATTTTATGGCATTTTGATTATTAAGCAAACCTGTGATCATTAAGCAAATGCTGTAGTCCCTAAGCAAAATCATTGTCCCCAATGAGTGCTTGTTGTCAAAAACTGGAAAATAAATGCAGGTTTCTAGCAATAAAAACCTTTGTAAATCATGATCATGCGGCTGTGGGATAGTGGAAACAGACATAAATGTTAGCTGGATGTCAAGCAGCAAAAATACAATTGTCAAGATTCTGGCAGTTACCCCAATTAAATCATGAGTCTCGAGCCAAACTTCCAAAACTGTTGGCCCTTTCTGTTCTAAAAAGACTAGAGAAATATTTTATGTGTTGACAGCGATCACATGAGCCAGAGGGCTGCCATCAGAACTTGGAATCTGTATGGTAGTATAAGATGAAAAAATAACTATAGTATTATTAGAATTGTGTAATTTGCTAAATGTAAATAACATGAACTTGTTTGTATTAAAAGATAACGAGAAAGGGTTTAATTCAATATGTGTACTAATATTAAACTATGATGGCTAAAAGGGAACAAACATTTTGATTCCACATAAATATGTGAAGATGATGAATTATAGCATAAGATAAAAGTAATTATATTACTATTAGAATTGCATAATTTGCTAAACGTAAATAAGATGAATATCACATTGTTTGTATTAAAATCTGATGAGAAAGAGATTTTGCTTTAAATATAATAGTGGCATAGCCGAGAAATAAAAAGGGGTTAAATAATGGAAAATATAAATTGATATGAATTTATGAATGAATATTAGAATTATATAATTAATTAGATATTGCAAATATGACTATTCATATAGTATCTACAACAAAACAAGTGATGTTAAGAATATAGAGATAGAAATAAAAATAACCTATGGTAATATTGAATAAGTGAGATTGATAATTTAATAGTATAAATGTACTAATGCCAAATTAGATAAGAATCTCAACAGTATGAAATATAAAATTATTGTCATGTCTGTTTTAAAATGTAAGACACTCTGGAACCACAGTAGCTTGCCCTGCCAGTTTTGAATAGGGTGCAGTTAGTGACTCTTTGAGCTGTGGTGGCGCAGTGGTCAGAGTGCAGTACTGCAGGCTACCTCTGCTGACTGCCGACTGCCTGCAATTTGGCAGTTCAAATCTCAACAGCTCAGGTTTGACTTATCCTCCCATCCTTCCAAAGAAGGTAAAATGAGGACCCAGATTGTTGTGGGGGCGAGGGGGAGAGGCTGATTCTCTAAACTGCTTTAGAGAAGGCTGTAAAGCACTGTGAAGCAGTATGTAAGTCTACATGCTAGCACTTTTGATTGTTTTATTATTTTATTATTATATTGTTTTATTATTTTAATATTATTATTTTATTGTTTTCTGCTTGATAGTTGGACTGGTAATCCCTGCTTATTTGGATGTTGGCTGCTGGAGAGGATGTGTTCTGGTCTTTTTGCTTTCTTCTTAGCTTTTTTTATTGTCTCTCTCTTTTTAAAAAAATAAATGTTATTGTTTTTTAAGACAAACATAGACAAACAAAACATAAAAACATCAAGCCATCTTCCATATATATATACATACAGTGTGTCGGTTGGTTTACAAATTGTTTTGTGCTTCCATTTTGTAGTCTTCAATTATGCTTACATTATATATATATTCTCATATTTCCAATCAAATATTAAATACATTAAAATCATTATTAATCAATCATTTGACTATACTATTTTTCAGTCATGTTTTATGAAATAATCCATTTTTACTTAATTTGTTTTATGACAGTTCATATTATCATCTCAAATCTATCCTACAATCATTTTGTAGATATAATAAGAAAAAAATACATCTTTATATATTTATTATTTTCTAAAAATCTACGTATTACATTACCATGGTTTATTGTCTCACCATTGATAGAATAGATCCCAAATTTCATAAAATTGCTTATCATCTTGTTCTCTGATTTCAAATGTCAATTGTCTCTCTTGAATGGTTCGTAAATGTGATCTATCTCTATATGTCTAGTGATGACCAATTTGTCTGAGTGTCAAACATCCAGGAATTCCACAGCATTTCTGGATTTAGCCTGGTTGAGGATGCTCACAGTTTTCCAGTTAAAACTATGATTGAAAGTGTCCATGTGTTGTGGGATTAAGGACTTTTTGTGTCTTGTCTTCTCACAACTAAATGTAAACAGGGAGCAAGCCCCACACTCACTCACGCCGATAATATTACCCAGTTAGTTATCTAAGTTATCTACCCCCATCCCCTCCCACATACAACCACACATCAAATTGCTTAGTTTAGTCACCAGTGAGGAAAGGTTACACCTTAATGAGGATTAAATATCTGGCAGGTATAATTGGGTGCTGCTAAAACCAAAGAAGAAAAAGAAGGAACTAATTGGGGTTAGGGCAGAACATGCTTAAAGGGTGCCCGTAGCTACTTGTGCAGGATGAAGTCAAGAAAAGAAAAGAAAAACGTTTGAGTTTCCTCTGCATAAGATGTGAAGCAACCTTTTGTCTCTTCCTTTCACCTGGATCATGCCCTTAATTGGGAGGAAGAAAGAATAGAGTTGAAAAAAGCACACAAATTATATATTTAAACCGTACTCCAGCCACTGTGGAGTCTTTAAATTAACACTGCTGCTGTGGTTCAGACAACTTTTGTGATCAAGGGCAACAGGGAGGACACACACACACACACACACACACACACACACACACACACACACAGGGAGGATGGGAGAGAAGCTATTACTTGCAGAGTGAGGCAGAGCTGTCAGAATAAAGCCAAGGAAAAGCAAAATAATTACTTTTGAAGAGAGATACTGTAGGATATCTATTTCTGCAGCACAACTCATTTACACAAGGATTTTTTTTTTAAAAAAAGCTGTTTATCTTCAGTTACTTTATTGTCTTTTGTTTCTCTCTCTCTCTCCATTTCTTAGAACATAATTTCACATACTACGATTCCATCTAATTTTTCTTTTTCTTTAATGCAGCACTAACATTAGTGGTTGCTATTTGTAATCAAACATCTAGAATGGTTGAAAGAGATCTATCAGAAAAGCTTTTTTTAATTGATTCCTGAAAGCCAAGGTATTTGGAGACAGGGGTCTGGATTCTTCTTGCACACTTGTTGAGATCAAAGCCGACAAGCATTTGGTGGCAGAGAGGAAATAACAGCGAAAAGGGTGGCTTAAGCACAAGAGTTTCAGTCACAATTGTCTTGGCAGCATTGTTCAAGATCAAGCTCACAAGTAGCTCGGCTCTTCTCTGAAGTCCTACAATGATAAAAAATGCTTCTGAACATTGAAAACCTTTTCCAATTAGCAATTCATTCCAGGTTGCATGTCTGCTAGAGCAATGAACTGGAAGGAAACAGTTACAATGGAATCGTAGATCATTGGATCAGTAGAAACTGGGAAACCTAGAACCAGAAAGCTGTAGAATTTGGGCTGAGCAGTGTTAGAATGCAGTATTGAGGACAAACTCTGCCCACTGCCAGCAGTTTGATCCTGACCAGAACAAAGTTGGCTCTCACCCTTCCATCCTTCTGAGGTCAGTAAAATAAGGAGCCAGACTGTTGGGGTGGGGTGGGGTGGGGGATACACTGACTGCCAGGATTCCAGCAATTGCCCTTAATTAAATCATGAGGCTCAAGCCAAACTTCAAAACACTTCAAAGGAGTTATTGGGAGCGACATACTGGCATGACCTGTATGAAGCCAACTCTGAGATATGTAATTTACAATCACTTATGACCCTGTTTCCCCCCACCCCTCTGGAAGTATCATAATTCAGATTGTCCAATGGAACATGTTCATGGCTGAGTGTCATCAATCACACCCTCCAATAAAGGATTTTTGAGCCCAGAATACCTGGTTGCCTCAGTTACAACCTTCGTCAGATAAGCTTGGAATGCATTTCTGAGTTCATTTTCCATATGCTACTTCAGGATTTCTCTTCCCCCTCTTTCTTATGGCAGCTTGGAAGCTGGCATAGGAATGCTTCACAAGTTGACACTGACTTTATAAACCACTTGGAGAGTGCTGAAAAACATTATGAAGTGATACATAAGTCTAAGTGCTATATTTAAATCAAGGTGTGGATGGAAAGGGACAGAGCCTTTCTCCCCCACAAATCCATCTACTTAAGAGATG